TGAGTGGCATTCTCTCCTGACGTTTTGCCTGCATCTATGGCAAGCATCCTCAGAGGTAGTGAGGTCTGTTGGAACTGGGAAAATAGGTTTATATATCTGTGGAATGTCCAGGGTGGGACAAAGGACTCTTCTCTGCTGGAGCTAGGTAGGAATGTTTCAACTGACCACCTTGAGTAGCGTTTAATGGCCCGGCAGTGCCTGGGGGAATCTTTTGTTGAGAGGTGACTAGATGTCCTTGTTTGTTTCCTCTCTGTTGTTGTGCTGTTGCAATTTTAGAGTGTTTTAATACTGGTCCTACGCCCGATCCCATTGCCTCCAACGTGGTGGTAACTAAACTAAACCCCAACTGAACACCGTCTCCTAGCATTGCAAGCCAACAACAACTACAACAACAACAGCGCCTGATCCGTGCCAAGTAGCTACCAATCCTTTGCAGAAATGCGACTTATCTTAGATTGCGCAGGCGACGTTGCCAAGGGGCAAACTGGGGTTGTAAGTGCCTTCACGTGCAGCGTAAACAGAACACGCACTTGCCTGCACAGCGGAGAGGAGGCGTGGAGCCCGTCTGCAAGGGTGGAAACCGAAACCCGGGCGGCTCTTTCCCTAATTAAGACAGAGCACTCGAAGCACAAGATTCTTCGGGGAAACAGCCGGGAATCTCCGGCCTGACAAGGTGGCCGAGCGGAAACGTCCGGCAACCATAAGTCCAGTCGTGTCCGACTCTGAGACTCTGGTGCTCATCTCCATTTCGAAGCCAAAGAGCCGGCGTTGTCCGTAGACATCTCCAAGGTCATGTGGCCATAGGCAGGACTGCATGGAGCACCGTTATTATTATTATTATGATGATTATTATTATCTTTATTTGTACCCCGCTAGCATCTCCCACAGGACTCGATGTGGCTTACAAAGGCCAAGGCCTCAACACAACAACAGCAATAACAATAATAATACAATTCAAAGCAAATTAAAAACATAAGCAATAACAAAGCATTACATCATTACGCAATAAACACCAGGGCCGGGCCAGTGATGGGTACAGGTTAGAAAGTGCTGCTGGAGCGGTACCTATTGATCTACTCACATTTGCATGTTTTCGAACTGCTAGGGTGGCAGGAGCTGGGGCTGACAGCGGAAGCTCATGCCGCTCCCCGGATTCGAACCTGCGACCTTTCAGTCAACAAGTTAAGCACTTTAACCCACTGCACCACCAAGGGCTCTATATACACACATACATATTATTATTATTATATATTTATAATACATTATTATTATATTTGTTCATTATTATTATTATTATTATTATTATTATTATTATTATTATTATTATGTACACCCCACTTTATCTCTCCAAAGGAGACTCGATGCTATTATTAGAATTTATTATTTATTTGTTATTTATTATCATAATATTCTGTCCTGCTTCCCACAACTTTCCTGCTTCTCTATTATTATTATCATCATCATCATCATTTCGTCCTATCGTACTTGCCGTATTTCATGCTTCTATTATTATTATTATTATTATTATTATTATTATTATTATTTTCCTGTCCTGTTTCCCCCAACCTTCAAATTTTCCTGTTTCTCTATTTGTCGTTGTTGTGATCATCACCATCATCACCATCATCACCATCATCCTGTCCTTGTTCCCCTACTTTCTTGTTTCTCTATCATAATCAACATCATTATTATTTTTTTATTATTTTTATTATTATCTTGTCCTTTCCTGCTTCCCCAACTTTCCAACTTCTCTATTATTATTTGTATCTTTATTATTATTCTTTTTGTGTCCTATTTCCCTAACCTTCGGGCCTTCCTGCTTTTGTATTATTATTATTATTATTATTATCCTGTCCTTCTTCCCCAACTTTCCTGCCTCTCTATTATTATTATTATTATTATTATTATTATTACTATTATTATTATTATCTTGCCCTGCCCTGCTTCCCCAGTTTTACAGCTTCTTTAATATTATTATTATTTTCCTTTCCTACATCCCCAACCTTCAAACTTTCCTGCTACTCTAGTTATTATTATTATTATTATTATTATCCTAATGTCCTTCTTCCCCAACTTTCCTGCCTATTATTATCATCATCAATTATTATATATTTTCTGTATTTATTATTATTATTATTCTTTTCCTGCCCTTCTTCCCCAACTTTCCTGCCTATTATTATTATTATTATTATTATTATTATTATTATTCTCATTATACATTTTCTGTATTTTTATTATTATCAATATTATTATTATTCTTTTCCTGCCTTTCTTCCCCAACTTTCCTGCCTATTATTATTATTATTATTATTATTATTATTATTATCAATTATTATACATTTTCTGTATTTATTATTATTATTGTTGTTGTTGTTATTGTTATTCTTTTCCTGCCCTTCTTTCCCAGCTTTCCTGCCTCTCTTCTTCTGACGATGATGTTTCTGAGTGTGGTTGTTGTTGTTTCCTGTGTCTTGTGTCCTTTCCCTGACTTAGAATCCTAGAGTTGGAAGAGACCTCCCGGGCCACCATCCAGTCCACCCCCATTCTGCCAAGAAGCAGGAATATTGCATTCAAAGCACCCCTGACAGATGGCCATCCAGCCTCTGCTTAAAAGCTTCCAAAGAAGGAGCCTCCACCACACTCCCTCCGGGGCAGAGAGTTCCACTGCTGAATGGCTCTCACAGTCAGGAAGTTCTTCCTCATGTTCAGATGGAATCTCCTCTCTTGTGGTTTGAAGCCATTGCCCCATTGCGTCCTAGTCTCTCTCCAGGGAAGCAGAAAGGAAGCTCCCTCCCTCCTCCTCCTCCCTGTGGCTTCCTCTCACATATTTATGCACAGCTATCATATCTCCTCTAAGCCTTCTCTTCTTCAGGCTAAAGATGCCCAGCTCCTTAAGCCGCTCCTCATAGGGCTTGTTCTCCAGACCCTTGGTCATTTGAGTCGCCCTCCTCTGGACACATTCCAGCTTAGTGTCAACATCTCTCTTGAATTGTGGTGCCCAGATTTGGACACAATATGATTCCAGGTAAAGTGGTCTAACCAAGGCGGAATAGAGCATGGGGAGCAGGACTTCCCTAGATGTAGGCACTAGGCCCCTCCTCTTGATGCTTGAGGCCAACATCCCATATTATTGGGAATATATTATTATTATTATTATTATTATTATTATTATTATTATTATTATTATTATTACCATATACGCCTAATGTCCTTCTTACCCAACTTTCCTGCCTATTATTATTATTGTTGTTGTTGTTGTTGTTGTTGTTGTTATTATTCTTTTCCTGCCCTTCTCCCCCAGCTTTCCTGCCTCTCTTCTTCTTCCTCTTCTGATGCTGTTTTGGAGTGTGCTTGTTGTTGTTGTTGTTGTTGTTGTTCCTTTCCCCGACTTCCCTGCTTCTTCTTCTTCCTGGGGATGTGTGTGCTGTAGTGTTACAATGTATCCTCACCCCCTCCTCCTCCTCCTCCTCCTCCTCCTCCTCCTCCTCCTCTTTGCTTCCTGCTTCTCCCGGCCAACTTTCTCTCTTTCTCCCGGTTTCTCTGCTTCTTCCAACTTCCTTCCTCCAACTTTCCTGCCTCTCTTCTGATGATGATGATGATGTTTCTGAGTGTGGTTGTTGTTGTTTCCTGTGTCTGGTGTCCTTTCCCCGACTTAGAATCACAGAATCCTAGAAGAGTGGGAAGAGACCTCCTGGGCCATCCTCCAGTCCAACCCCATTCTGCCAAGAAGCAGGAATATTGCCTTCAAAGCACCCCTGGCAGATGGCCATCCAGCCTCTGCTTAAAAGCTTCCAAAGGAGGAGCCTCCACCACACTCCCTCTGCGGCAGAGAGTTCCACTGCTGAACGGCTCTCACAGTCAGGAAGTTCTTCCTCATGTTCAGGTGGAATCTCCTCTCTTGTAGTTTGAAGCCATTGTTCTGCGTCCTAGTCTCCAGGGAAGCAGAAAACAAGCTTGCTCCCTCCTCCCTGTGGCTTCCTCTCACATATTTATACATGGCTATCATATCTCCTCTCAGCCTTCTCTTCTTCAGGCTAATGACCAAGCTCCTGAAGTCGCTCCTCATAGGGCTTGTTCTCCTGACCCTTGATCTGTTCCCTCCTCCTCCCTGTGGCTTCCTCTCACATCTTCATACATGGCTCTCATCATGTCTCCTCTCATCCTTCTCTTCTTCAGGCTAAACATGCCCAGCTCCTTAAGCCGCTCCTCATGGGGCTTGTTCTCCTGACCCTTGATCTGTTCCCTCCTCCTCCCTGTGGCTTCCTCTCACATATTTATACATGGCTCTCATCATCTCCTCTCAGCCTTCTCTTCTTCAGGCTAAACATGCCCAGCTCCTTAAGCCGCTCCTCATAGGGCTTGTTCTCCAGACCCTTGATCTGCTCCCTCCTCCCTGTGGCTTCCTCTCACATATTTATTATGCATGGCCCTCATCATGCCTCCTCTCAGCCTTCTCTTCTTCAGGCTAAACATGCCCAGCTCCTTAAGCCGCTCCTCATAGGGCTTGTTCTCCAGACCCTTGATCATTTGAGTCGCCCTCTTCCTCTGGACACATTCCAGCTTAGAGTCAATATCTCTCTTCACTTTGAAAAAAAACCCACTTAAAAACAATACAATAATTCATAGAATCCTAGAAGAGTGGGAAGAGCCCCCCTCCTGGGCCCTCATCCTCCAGCCCAACCCCTTTCTGCCAAGAAGCAGGAATATTGCCTTCAAAGCACCCCCGACAGATGGCCACCCAGCCCCTGCTTCAAAGCCTCCAAAGAAGGAAGGAGCCTCCTTCCACCACACTCCCTCCCTCCCTCCCTCCCTCCCTCCGGGGAAGGCAGAGAGTTCCACTGCTGAACGGCTCTCCTTACAGCCAGGCTTCCCTGCTTCTTCTTCTTCTTCTTCTTCTTCCTGGGGATGTGTGTGCTGTAGTGTTACAATGTAGCCTGACCCCCTTCCTCCCTCTCCTTCCCTCTCTGCTTCCTCCAACTCCCTCCCTCCCTCTCACTCACTTTGTAGGTGTTCTCGGTGAGCTTGTTGACTTCTTCGGCGTCGCGCGACATGGCTGCCTCCCTTGCCTTCTTGCCTTCCTCCTTCGCCCTCTTCTCTCTTTCTCCTCCTTCCCCGAAGGAAGGAAGGAAGCCAGCCAGCCAGCCAGGGAGAGAGCGTGCTTCCTTCCTGCTCGGTCGGTTTCTCCCTGGGACTGCCCGGCAGGCAGCGGGGCGGGGCCCAGCCCGGACAAGGAGGGAGGAGGAGGAGGCAGCAAGACACACAGGTGGGGCTCCCTGGGGCCCTTCCCCGCCACGCCCTACCGCCAGGAGACAGGTACACACACACACACACACACAGAGTTCCTTTCGGAGCCCTCTCCCACCCTCCAAGCATGACTCGACTTGGAAAGCAATGGTGACATAGGCTTGACTTCAAAAAGAAACTGTCACAAGTTTATTGAGGTACAGAAGCTTGATGGTTTCAAAGTTTCCTTTCTCTTAGAGGTACAGATCTTCCCCACCCCACCGCCAGGAGGGAGATAGACTGACAGAGAGAGAGAGAGAGAGTTTCCTTTCAGGGCCCTCTCCCACCCTCCGGAAAAAAGGTGACTGGAAGGAAAAGCACCTGGCCATGTCGGGGGAACACACACACACAACACGGGAAGGGGTCCAGACAGGGTCCACACACCCTTCTTCTTCTTCTGCCAGCAGAAGGAAAGAAGACCCCCTCCACCCCACCCCACCCACAGGGCAGCAGTCCCAACTCGGAGTGAGCTCCTGTCTGGCAGCTCCAGCTCCCCACATCCCCTGGGCAACGTCGGGGATGTCGGGGGAACACTCCGCTCCTCCCTCTGGACCCAGGCAGGGGTTCACAAGCCCTTCTTCTTCTTCTGCCAGCAGTCCCACCCTGGGGGTGAGCTCCCATCTGGCAGCTCCAGCTCCCCACATTCCCTGGGCAACGTCCTTGCTTTGGTCTTTCTTCAATACCTAGCGTGACTCGACTTGGAAAGGAATGGTAACATAGGCTTGACTTCAAAAAGAAACTGTCACAAGTTTATTGAGGTACAGAAGCTTGATGGTTTCAAAGTTTCCTTTCTCTTAGAGGTACAGATCTTCCAAGGTTACATTCATAATAGTTCTCAAATAACTCTTAGGAGGACTAATTCTTCCGACAAACAGGTCTCAAACTTGGTTCTTTTAAAAAGGTGTTTCTTTCTTTAACAGGTTGTTTCAGGCAATTGTTTCAGGGAGAATACTCCGCTCCTCGCCCCGGGGCGCCAGGCAGGGATTCACACACCCTTCTTCTTCTCCCACCCCCGTCCCCACCTGCTGGGCAGCAGCCCCACCCGGGGTGAGCTCCCGCCTGGCAGCTCCAGCTCCCCACATCTCCTGGGCAACGTCCTGGCAGGCAGCCAGTTCTCTCACACCACGAGCCCCCTTGAAGTTTCTCAAGTCACTCCTCACATGGAGAAAAAACTACCAACTTATTTATTTATTTATTTATATTCTTTATTATTATTTTATTTCTATTATTTTGTTTTTATTAATTTTAATCTATTATTATTATTATTATTATTATTATTAATTCTATTCTTTTATTTTATTTTATTTTTTTCAGGCGGAAAAAAAGGTGACCAGAAGAACAGTCACCTGGCCATTTCAGGGGACACACAACACCCAGGAACTCCACTCCTCACACCACGAGCCCCCTGGCCCTTTCCCAAGTCGCTCCTGACACAAAAAGAAAAAAGCTACCAACTTCTTCTTATTTTATTATTTCTATGTTATTTCTATTTATTATTATTATTTTATCTTTTATTCATTTTATTCTATTTATTTATTTGCTTTATTTTTATACTGCATTTTTCAGCCTATTTCGGCGACTCAATGCGGTTTACAATGCAATTTATTACAATAACAATTAGTTAAAACACAGCATACATGACAGACAATACAAGACAACACAACATAGTCATCAACGCCTCAGTAAAAATCAGATTCCGTTCTCATAATCCTTCTACCGTTCCTTTGTTCATTTATACCGTCTTCATGAGTTCAGTTGCCTTGTTGATCGAACGCCTGTTCATAGAGCCACGTCTTGACCTTCCTCCGGAACTCCAGCAATGAAGGGGCCTGCCTGATGTCTGCGGGTAGGGCATTCCATAGCCGAGGGGCCACCACCGAGAAGGCCCTGTCCCTCGTCCCCGCCAGCGCGCCTGCGACGCAGGCGGGACTGAGAGCAGGGCCTCCCCGGACGATCTTAACGTCCTTGTCGGTTCATAGGTGGAGATGCGTTCGGAGAGGTAAGCAGGGCCAGAACCGTTTAGGGCTTTATAGGCTAAAGCCAGCACCTTGAATTGTGCCCGGTAGCGGATTGGCAGCCAGTGGAGCTGGCTCAGCAGAGGAGTGGTATGCTCCCTGAGTGCCGCTCCCGTTAGTAACCTGGCCGCTGAGCGCTGGACCATCTGAAGCTTCCGGGCAGTCTTCAAGGGCAACCCCACGTAGAGCGCGTTGCAGTAATCAATCCGGGATGTAACCAGAGCGTGGACTACCGTGGCCAAGTCAGACTTCCCAAGGTACGGGCGCAACTGGCGCACAAGTTTGAGTTGTGCAAATGCTCCCCTGGACACCGCCAAAACTTGGGGTTCCAAGCTTAGCGAGGAGTCCAGGATCACACCCAAGCTGCGAACCTGCGTCTTCAGGGGGAGTGTAACCCCGTCCAACACAGGCTGTAACCCTATACCCTGTTCGGCCTTTCGACTGACCAGGAGTGCCTCTGTCTTGTCTGGATTCAATTTCAATTTGTTAGCCCTCATCCAGTCCGACACAGCGGCCAAGCAACGGTTCAGGACCTGAACAGCCTCCTTAGTAGTAAGTGGGAAGGAGTGACAGAGTTGGACGTCATCTGCGTACAGATAACACCGCACCCCGAAACTCCGGATGATCTCTCCCAACGGCTTCATGTAGATGTTAAACAACATGGGGGACAATATTGAGCCCTGCAGAACCCCACAAGTCAATGGTTGTGAGGTAGAGCAGTTGTCCCCCAGCAACACCTTCTGAGTACGATCCTCTAGGAAGGACCTGAGCCACTGCAAAACAGTGCCACCAAGGCCCATTCCCGCGAGGCGTCTCAGAAGAATACCGTGGTCGACGGTATCGAAGGCCGCTGAGAGGTCCAGCAGAACCAACAGGGACACACTCCCCCTGTTGAGCTCCCTGCGCAGATCATCCACTAAGGCAACCAAGGCTGTCTCGGTACCATGTCCCGGCCTGAAACCAGACTGTGCCGGATCTAGATAATCAGTGTCTACCAAGAATACCTGGAGTTGTGAGGCCACCACACGTTCCAGGACTTTGCCCAAAAAGGGAAGATTGGAAACAGGCCGATAGTTGACGAATTGAGTGGTCCAGTGATGGTTTTTTCAACAGCGGTTTTATCACAGCTTGTTTTAAGCTGGCTGGAATTTTGCCTTCCCGAGGGAGGCATTAACCACCACCTTCACCCACTCGGCCAATCCCCCTCTGGCCTCCTTTAGAAGCCAGGATGGGCAGGGGTCTAGGATGCATGTGGTTGCTCTCATCCCTCCAAGCACCTCGTCCACATCCTCAGGTTTCACCAATTGAAATGAATCCAACAAAATCGGATAAGCAGATGCTCGTGTTACATCCTCTGAGACTGCCGTTAACATGGTGTCCAGGTCAGAACGGATCAAAGCGACTTTGTCCGCAAAGAACCGAGCAAATGCTTCACAGCGGGCCGTCGAGTTGTCAGGGTTCCCATCCGAAGCTCAGCCGGACGGTTCTTTGCGGACGCAATATTGGCTGCGAAGAAGGATTTCTTTGCCGCCTTTATTGCCACGGCATATGCCCTTAGAAGGGCAACAAACCATGTTCGATTTAACTTGCTCGGGTCCGAACGCCACACGCGCTCTAGTCTCCTCTTCCTTCGCTTCATCGCTGCCAGCTCCTCGGTGAACCAAGGGGCTGGTTTAGCTCGGCTACTTGAGAGGGGACGTTCCGGAGCAATCGTGTCTATTGCCCTAGTCATCTCCCCATTCCAGAGAGACACCAGGGCATCGACAGGATCACCAACCGAGGCGGGGAAATCCCCAAGAGCCGTCAGGAATCCGTTCGGATCCATAAGCCTCCTGGGGCGGACCATCTTAATGGGTCCCACCTCTGCAGAGGTTAGGAGGTGCAGTAAGTCTAAATCTGACCAGATAGTGGTCGGTCCATGGCAACGGAGAGATGGACAACTCCTCAACACCGCCACCTTGCTCCCATCCCTGGCAGAAAACCAGATCCAATGTGTGTCCAGCACTGTGGGTGGGGCCAGATACCCGTTGGGACAGCCCCATGGTTGCCATGGAAGACATGAAGTCCTGAGCCGCTCCTCTAGGGTAGTCTCGGCATGTACATTGAAGTCCCCCAGCACAAGAAGCCGTTGGGACTCCAATGCCAGGCTCGAGACCACCCCTGCTAGCTCAGGTAGGGAGACCGTAGTGCAGCGAGGTGGGCGGTACACTAGCAGAATCCCTATTCTGTCCCGGTCACCCACCCTCAGGTGGACACATTCGAAATTGGTTGACTGCGGGATGGGGCCTCTGGTCAGAGGGATGGAATTTTTATAGACTACCGCAACTCCGCCTTCTATTATTATTATTATTATTATTATTATTATTATTAACAAGCAGGTAGACAATTTTAACAGAAAGGAGGAAACCATGAAAATGAACAAAATCTGGCTACCAGTATTAAAAAAACTCTAAAATTACAACAGCAAAACAACAGAGAGGAAACAATCTGGGACATCTAATCACCTCTCAACAAAAGATTGCCCCAGGCACTGCCAGGCCATCAAATGTTAATTAAGGTGGTCAGTTGAAACATTCCCACCTAGCTCCAGCAGACAAGAGTCCTTTGTCTCACCCTGGTCATTCCACAGATATATAAACCCATTTTCCAACTCCAACAGACCTCACGACCTCTGAGGATGCTTGCCATAGATGCAGGCAAAACGTCAGGAGAGAATGCCTCTAGAACATGGCCATATAGCCTGAAAAAATCTACAACAACCCAATCAGGGACATCTA